GGGTGTTAGCCACCCCTCCCAGTTTGGTGTCATCTGCAAATTTGATCAGGATGCCCTTGAGTCCATCATCCAAGTCGTTGATAAGATGTTGAACAGAACAACTAATAAAACAGAATAATATGTAATATAAATCCACCATTAATGCACCATTATTGGGTCAATGATGTACGGCAGAATATACCAGCAAAGAATACCGGTATTCTGAATTGCTGTTCTTAAAAATATAATAAAGGCCTGCTGGATCAGGCCAGTGACTCAACTCAGCTAGTCCAGCATTCTGTTCTCACAGCAGCCAACCACATGCCTGTGGGAAATCTGCAAGAAGGATTCGGGTACAAGAGCACTCTCTCCTCCTGTAGTTTCCAGCAACCGGTGGAATGCGGGTGGCGCTGTGGTCTAAACCACTGAGCCTCTTGGGCTTTTGCCAATCAGAAGGTCGGTGGTTCGAATCCACAACAGGGTGAGCTCCTGTTGCTCTGTCCCAGCTCCTGCCCACCAAGCAGTTTGAAAGCATACCAGTGCAATTAGATCAATAGGTACTGCTACAGCAGGAAGGTAAATGGCATTTCCGTGCACTCTGGTTTCCGTCACGGTGTTCTGTTGCACCAGAAGCAATTTAGTCATACTGGCCACATGGCCCGGAAAGATGTCTGGACAAACGCCGGCTCCCTCGTCCTGAAAGCGAGATGAGCGCCGCAACCCCATAGTTGCCTTTGACTGGACTTAACCATCCAGGGGTCCTTTACCTTTTACTTTTTTACCTTTATTCAGAAGCATTGCTATCTCAAATTGTGGAGGCACAGCATAACCGTCACAGCTAGTAGCCATTGATAGTATTCTCCTCCGTGAGTTTGTCTCATCTTCTTTTAAAGCCATTGAGGTTGGGGGCCCTCGCTGCTTCCTGTGGGAGCAAGTGCCATAGTTTAGCTAGGTGCTGCATAATCTTCCTTCCTCTCTGCAGCAAGAGCAGCACTCCCTTATTTGTTTAACAATATTTATATGCCACGTACTCGACAGAAGGCCTGCAAGCGGATTACAAAGAATATGAGAAAAGCAAACGTTTAAAAAAGTTAACATTAGAAAGATTAAACATAAATAAAAGCAGCATTTAAAGAAAAGTATACCCATGAAAATTGCATGTTGATATTACATTCTTGGGTAGGCTTGCTGAGACAAATAATGTCTTCCTTAACAGGAAAAGGAAAGTCCCTTGGTTGGATGTTACCTGCTAACTCTGTCCCCTCACAAACAATTACATCACTTTTCTTTTCTTTTTTTAAAGTATTATAATATTGATAGCATATGTTTGGAGCGGAATCAGAAAGCATTATCTCATCTGGGTTTTGCTGGAGCCAAATGATCATTGATATTGGCCTATAAAAACCAGCTGTAGTACTTCCATGGAAAATTCTAGTGTGGGTTTTTTTATTATTTAAAAAAATGTTCCGTTGTCTATGTGGATAAAAATGTATATATTGAGTGACTAGGTGGTGTTTTTTTTTTTTAGGCCAGCGTTATTATGATAAAACGACCAGAGCTGTGTCTTAGTTCATACGAAACTGTCAGGCAGAGATTTAGAGGGTTTTTTTAAAAAAAAAAACACCAAATAAATAATAAATAAATAAATATGCCTCCCCTCTCCTCACTGTATTCTATTTATACTTTGGACCCATTTTCTGGCATGTTCAAAGATAAACATGGCGACGATAAAAGATTCCATCTTAGGTTTTTGGCAGGAGGTGGCTCCCTACAGGAACTTAGAGAGATTTAATTGGGGTGACTGATTATGGGGCTGTCTGGGAGCTGGGAGGAATCCACTCGCCAGCTCTTGCCGTCTCCTCCTCCTCGATGCATCCAGCAGAGATACCTAGATAAGAACAGAGGCAGCTTTTGTGAGGAAGAAAGTAGGGGTGGAGGAGAAATTCAATTCAGCTCACATTTGCAGGCAAACTTACCTAGTTTTCACCTTCTTGAAACTATATCTGCACACCAAAACTCAGCCACATTCTCACTTCTCCAGATTCTGTAATGCAGTTCCCAAGCCAAGGAATGTGTACCAAAAATACATAAAAGCCTGTATAAAAATGCATGGATTAGTGAAAAATCACCTGAAGAAATGCATTCGTTAAGGGGAAATGGTTCTGCCAAAATGTTTATGTTGACCAAAACATAAAAAGATGTATACAGTGGTACCTCGGGTTACATACACTTCAGGTTACATACGCTTCAGGTTACAGACTCCGCTAACCCAGAAATAGTACCTCGGGTTAAGAACTTTGCTTCAGGATGAGAACAAAAATCGTTCTGCAGCGGCGTGGCGGCAGCAGGAGGCCCCATTAGCTAAAGTGATGCTTCAGGTTAAGAACAATTTCAGGTTAAGAACGGACCTCCGGAACGAATTAAGTACTTAACCTGAGGTACCACTGTATATTGGGAGAAACGAACACTAAAACACTGCTGGATTTTCACAAGGACTTGCTTCTTAAAAATCCGCAAACTGGTGCAGAAACGTAGCAAAGTGAACTGGGGGGGGGGGTGAGAAACTGAGCGAAACCAAAATTCACCCATCTCTACAAGAAAACAATTCTCTATTTTAGAGCGGTTGCTGGACTCCAGCTCCCATGAGCCTGAGCCCACATGGCCATTAGTCAGGGAGGGTGGGAGTCTAGCAACATCTGGGGGGGCTGCAGCCCCACCCACCCAAATCCCTCTCCCACAGAGAAAGCGCTGCCCTAACCAGGACTGCTTTGTGTTCTGAGGGGTGTTCCTGACAGCAGCCCAAATGTTAAGGAGCAGCAGCAGGCGGGCGGAATAAATGAGTATTGTACATGCAGGAAGACAGCCTCTTTTGTTGGCTACCTCCTTCCTCCACGGGTACAGTATTTCCTTTTGTTGGCAAATGCAAAGTGATCTGAGCCATTCCTTAATTCAGCTGGAACCATGGCCAAACTCTACCTTAAAAAGCTTGTTTGTGTGTGTGTGACCTCCGCCTGGCTCCTTTGATGCCTGCACTGCTCAGGGACAAAATTCACTCAGCGGCAGCAACAAAGAACTTTTAAAAGAGGGTTGGGAAGGATTTTGTTTGTATTAATGAAGTGTAACGTGAGTCAGGGAGGATGCAAGTCCTCCCTCATACCCCACCCCTCTACCCCCGCTGGCGAAATATCAGTCCTGCCGTAAACTCAGATTTTGCCCCGGCTGTTAAATTAATGATTCCCTTTGGTTGTCCACGAGATCTTATCAGCATTCAGTGAGGAGCTGGGCACAGGCTGGCTCTGCATTCCCAAGTTACTCAAATATCCCTGGTTTTGTTGATGGTAACGTTAATCCATCTGAAATACAATTGCAGCACAAGGATATAATTCTAATTTCAAGTGATTGTGGTGGTGGCACAGCCCCCGTTTATATGATTTTTGAGAAGTGTGCAGGAGTTGTCTCACCAAATCAAAGAGAATGACTAGGGCATGGGTAGGCAAGCTAATGCCCGGGGGCTGGATCCGGCCCAATTGCCTTCTAAATCCAGCCCGCGGACAGTCCAGGAATCAGCATGTTTTTACATGAGTAGAATGTGTCCTTTTATTTAAAATGCATCTCTGGGTTATTTGTGGGGCATAGGAATTCATTCATTCTTTCCCCAAAAATATAGTCCGGCCCCCCCATAAGGTCTGAGGGACAGTGGTGTCCCCTGCTGGAAAAGTTTGCTGTCTCCTGTACTAGGGTAATGAATACAGCAGAACTTGAATTGAGCTCATCTCCAGGTACTTTGCCTGCTTCCCTCCTTATTTGTTAGTTTTGGCGCCCACTGCTGGCGGAAAGCAAAACTACTTGCACTCGTTTAATAAAACTCTGCCTAAAAGTCACGATGGTTGACTTGTGCTACATTCTTTAAATTGAAAACAATGGGACGCGTGCACACACCTCCCTTTGCTAAAAGCTTGCTGCTGTTGCTCATATATGATAAACATGTAGCTCCATAGGTTTGAGAGACACCAACAGAACACTCTTATACCCGTAAGTCACATTGTGTCTAATTTGGGTTTACTTCCAGGTAAGTGTGCATAAGATTGCAGCCTTAATGACCTGCGCTAACGTGGATTTTGATCACTGGGGCTGCTCTTTTCGTCCATGAATTCCTTCCTAGAAGAGCACTCGCTGCATCCATGACAGCCCGGCATCTAAATGTTTGTACGGGAACTGCATCTACAGCCCCTATCATAAACTCCGAACATTGAGATTATGATGCTAAATGCCTTTGTGGGCCATTGGGGACAGTCTCTCCCTGGCCAATACCATCTTTGTTGGGATTTTGGTTGGAACCAAGGAAAGGGTCAAATCTTACCTCCTAGTTCAGCCCCCCTTTATCTTCTGTTAACTCTCTTGTTCTTCAGCTAACGTGTTTGCATGTGACACGGGTGGCACTGTGGGTTAACCACAGAGCCTAGGACTTGCCGATCAGAAGGTCGGCAGTTCGAATCCCCGCGACAGGATGAACTCCCGTTGCTCTGTCCCTGCTCCTGCCAACCTAGCCATTTGAAAGCACATCAAAGTGCAAGTAGATAAATAGGTACCGCTCCGGCGGGAAGGTAAATGGCGTTTCCGTGCTTTGCTTTGCCAGAAGCGGCTTAGTCATGCTGGCCACATGACCCGGAAGCTGTACTCCAATAAACCCCAGAGTCGGTCACGACTAGACCTAATGGTCAGGGGTCCCTTTACCTTTACCTTTTACATTTAGCATCACGGCCAACTTTTGTCTTCATAGCACAGTCCTCTGCATGCTTACTCAGAAGCAAGTCACACTGTTTTCATTGGGGCTGAAAGGCCACGTAAAAGATAAATACAGCTGCAGCCTTGGTCTCTCTGTTATTTTAAAACAAAGCAAAACAAACAAAAACCACCTCAAACAAGGCCTTTCACCACAAGGTGACTTGTGTCAATGCACAGAATTGTTAAGCCTTCCTTGTATGGTGTTCCTAAATACATTTTGAATCCCTGTGTTACAGGAACATGGTTGAAAAGCAGCTTGGGCATTGTAGAACAAGAAGGAAGCGAGATGACCTGGACGTATATTGCCCCACAGCTGGGATACTGGGTTGCAGCCATGTCCCCCACAAATCCAGGTGAAATGAGAGTTTTCTTTTCTTCATAAATTTATGCACACCATGCTGTGAATGGGCCTGTGTGTTTCACTATAGTATCAGTGCACCCGCCATTTTAATTACCCACAAGGCCCTCCCAGCGTACTACTGCTCTGGGGCATTGTGGGAAGTATAAGTGGTGGGCCTCTTGTCACTGTCTGGCGTGGGTGGCACCACTCCTGCTGCCTGCAGAGGCACCTACAGGGGACCCCCTCTGAGAAGAGATGGTTTTAGGATAGCATGATTGGTTCAGCTGCGCTGGGTGCCGGCGCCGCAACAATAATGTAGAATGGGGTGCAAGAGTTGGGGGCACTGAATTGTGGCATCACAGAGGGCGCCAGTGAAATTTGAGGGACCAAAGTCTGCCCTTGTTCCCAGGCAGGGAGGGGTGCACACTTGGACCCAGAGCCAGCCTGTCCCTTAAATATACACTCAAAGGAGAATTGGAAGGCTCTGTATTGGTTGGATTGCTTTTCTTCAGCCTTTTCAACTTTTTCTCTTCTAGGTCCCGTTGTAACCCAGGACATAAGCACTTACCACACAGTGTTTCTTTTGGCTATTCTAGGAGGGATGGCTCTGATACTTCTGGTTTTACTGTGCCTCCTCTTGTACTACTGCAGGTAAAAAAACTCTTAAGAGTTTTCCGGTAAATTTTCCATCCTACATTCCAAGCATCCATTAAAAAAACCAAAACGCAACCTAAAACTGCAATGTAACTACATTGTCCATCTCATACTTCCTAAAAGGGTCTTCGTATACAGTGGTACCTCGGGTTAAGTACTTAATTCGTTCCGGATGTCCATTCTTAACCTGAAACTGTTCTTAACCTGAAGCACCACTTTAGCTAATGGGGCCTGCTGCTGCTGCTGCTGCTGCGCTGCCAGAGCACGATTTCTGTTCTCATCCTGAAGCAAAGTTCTTAACCTGAAGCACTATTTCTGGGTTAGCAGAGTCTGTAACCTGAAGTATATGTAACCTGAGGTACCACTGTACTGAGCATATTACGGTCCATAGCAGTAAGTCACAATATTGGGACCACAGATGTTTGGGCAGGAGGTCATGTCAAAATGATTTGGGGGCCTCTGGAAGTTTCACAGTTCAACTTATGGTAAGAGGATATGAAGTCCCTATGAAAGTGTATTGATTTTGCTGTCCTTCTAACTTGACTCACTTCTGTTAGCTTTTTTACTAAAGCTAACTCTCGTACCTTTGAACCACCATGCTTGCGGCATGAATGGAGATTTCTGGCACAAATGTTTTACTGTCTCAAAGCCTGCAGGCTGCCAATAGGGAGGAAATTAAGTCTATAACCTCCACTGTTTCCTCAGTTTGTGTACAGAGATCATCCCATTTTGCTTTAATACTAGGGGGGGAAAAACATTCCATCCTGATGAGTGATCCTTTAAATTTTCTCTCTCTTGGCACAGAAGCTCTCAAAAAGAAAAAGAAAAAACCATTAGATCTCTAGGAGCACCTTGAGTGAGATAAAAACAAGAACTAAATGATTGGGTCTGAACCATCTGAAACTAATTCAGACTGATGCCCCCTAGTTGAGCTAGTAACTGATCGGTTTGAATAGATTATGCATTTTGTACAACCCTTTAGTTGCCCATTTCTTAAATTGCTTAATTTTTTCCCCTCTGTGGTATAAAAAGGGGCACAATGGGGAACTAGGAGTCACGCCCATTTCCCCCATGTTACAAAAGGCTGGCTTTACAAAAGGGGGTTATCAATTTCATTTAAACCATATGCAGTTATCTTTAGAAAGGGAAGCACTTTGTAATAGTGATCTTGGTCCCAGTTCAGTAGTCCACATCCTGATCTCCTCTTATGATCTGTTTCAATTGCTTAAGGTGACAGGCATCGTAGCATAACAGGAGGAGAGGCATCCAAAGCCATCAACTTCATGTCTATTGTTTGCCATTTCATTTTGCAACGGGGGCGGGGGGGGAAATGGTGCTTTCTCACAAACACTTTCAGTTGGTGCAGTGATACGTATATCAGCTGCCATAATAGTCAAGCAAAAGAACACCTTTGGATTCCAGTTCCCTATATTGAGCTCTGTTCAGGCATTCTGAATACTACTACAGTGGTACCTTGGGTTAAGTACTTAATTCGTTCCGGAGGTCTGTTCTTAACCTGAAACTGTTCTTAACCTGAAGCACCACTTTAGCTAATGGGGCCTCCTGCTGCCGGAGCACGATTTCTGTTCTCATCCTGAAGCAAAGTTCTTAAACCGAGGTACTATTTCTGGGTTAGCGGAATCTGTAACCTGAAGCGTATGTAACCTGAAGCGTATGTAACCCGAGGTACCACTGTACTACTACTACTACTACTACTACTAACAGTGGCGTAGCGTGGGTTGTCAGCACCCGGGGCAAGGCAAGTAATTTGCGCCCCCTAACCCATGGATTTGCGCCCCCTAACCTGTGGATTTGCGCCCCCTAACCCATGGATTTGCCCTAACCCCAGATGTTGCGCCCGGTGCGGCCGGCCCCCCCTGCACCCCCCACGCTACGCCACTGACTACTAATTTTATTATTTATATCCCACCCATCTGATTGCATTTCCCCCAGCAACTCTGGGCGGCTTACAACACATAAAACATTGTAACACATCAAACATTTAAAACTTCCCAATACAGGGATGACTTCAGATGTCTTCTAAAAGTCAGGTGTTTATTTCCTTGACATCTGATGGGAGAGCATTCCACAGGGCGGGCGCCACTACCGAGAAGGCCCTCTGCCTGGTTCCCTGTAACTTCACTTCTCGCAGTGAGGGAACCACATGTGATATGCCCCTAGTCAAAATGAGGGCCTCCTTTTCAAAGGGAAGAACAGCAATGGAAGAAAAAGGATTTTGTTTGAAGGAAGATTTGATTGGCATTATGTATTATTTATTTCCCAGCTCTCCTGAGGACTTTTCAGTGTGGCTTAGAAAAGTGCAACAATACCAAAAAACAACAACCATTAAATACAAAAAGGAGCAGCAATAAATTATATGTAAAAGCAGCATTTAAAAGCCATACTTAAAAAAACAACTTAGGCCAACACATGGAAACGGCAGAGCATGGACAGGCATGCTAACTCTGTCTCCATCGTCTTTGCCGTCACCCTCAGCATGTTACCTGGTGACTCTTTGGGCTGTGACGAAACCTCCTTTACTTGCGAAGACTTCCCGCATTTTGAAACCTTCACCTCACACAATATTCTAGCCAGGAGAAACTCCCAAGACAGACTGCTGTCCCTCTGAAAGCAGAGGATGGATGGCTTCCACAACCAGAAGGACAGTTTTGGATGCAACCCAGTGAACCTAAACAAGCTCACTGGAGGGTCACATGTTAAAAAGAATCATCTTTTTTTCCCCTTTTAACATGTGAAATTAATGAAAATATAAGTAGTTGATTTATTCCAAGGGAACTTTTATAAAATAAAAAGCAGCACAGACATTTAGGAATTCTATTACCATCATCATGATCATCATCATTATGTCTCTTTTCACAAAAGTGACTCAGCAACTTAAATGGGGGGACACGGGTGGCGCTGTGGGTTAAACCACAGAGCCTAGGACTTGCTGATCAGAAGGTTGGCAGTTCAAATCCCCGCGACGGGGTGAGCTCCTGTTGCTCGGTCCCTGCTCCTGCCAACCGTGCAGTTCGAAAACACGTCAAAGTGCAAGTAGATAAATAGGTACCGCTCTGGCGGGAAGGTAAACGGCATTTCAGTGCACTGCTCTGGTTCACCAGAAGCAGCTTGGTCATGCTGGCCACATGACCCGGAAGCTGTACGCCGGCTCCCTCGGCCAATGAAGCGAGATGAGCGCCACAATCCCAGAGTCAGCCACGACTGAACCTAATGGTCAGGGGTCCCTTTACCTTTACTAAAAGAATAGAGAATAAAAGAAAAGAAGAAGAAGAGGAGTTTGGATTTGATATCCCGCTTTATCACTACCCAAAGGAGTCTCAAAGCGGCTAACATTCTCCTTTCCCTTCCTCCCCCACAACAAACACTCTGTGAGGTGAGTGGGGCTGAGAGACTTCAGAGAAGTGTGATTAGCCCAGGGTCACCCAGCAGCTGCATGTGGAAGAGCGGAGACACGAACCCGGTTCCCCAGATTGCAAGACTACCGCTCTTAACCACTACACCACACTGGCTCTGTTCATATATATACAGTCATACCTTAGAAGTTTAACGGAATCCATTCCAGAAGTCTGTTCAACTTCCAAAATGTTCAAAAACCAAAGTGTGGCTTCTGATTGGCTGCAAGAAGCTCCTGCAGCCAATCAGAAGCCACGGAAGCCCCATCAGGCATTCGGCTTCCAAAAATAGTTTGCAAACCGGAACAGTCACTTCCGGTTTTCCATCATTCAGGAACCAAAACATTCGGGAACTAAGCTGTTTGACTTCCAAGGTATGACTGTATATAGAAATAAAATGTACAGGCAAATCCAGCCTCACCTGCCCTACTAAAAACATAAGCACAAAAATAGGCCACAAAAATACAAATTAAGGGCCAAAAGCCTGGGTACATAAAAATGTTTCTGCCTGGCAACCAAAAACAGATAAAGATGGTGATGGGCATGCTTCTCTAGGGAGAACATTCCACAAACGGGGCCACCACTAAGAAAACCTGTTCTCTGCAGAGCTGTCAGGTTGGAACCCTGAATAGGAGCATTCACTTAACAAAAGACAGTATCTTGTTGCAGGTGCTAACCATTTTTGTTCTCTTTTTATGATAGGCGAAAGTGTCTGAAGCCACGTCATAAGAAACTGCAGCTGTCCTCAACACTTAGTGGCGCTAAGAAGGATCAGTCGACCTCTATGTCCCACCTCAACTTGATATTTTCGCGCCGCGAGTCAGAATTTCCTGGCGGGTTGTCCGTTGCCAGCAATGGACACACAGAATCCTCCGGCCACAAGGAGCTGATGGGGGCCGTGCGCATGGAGAAAGTGTGTCCGGGGGGAGAAGCAGATATGCGCACTCCCATGCTCAAGCACACATACAGCACCTCGCAAGAGTTTAGTTCCCGAGAAGAGTTGCTTTCCCATAAGGAGAAGGATCAGAGCCGTATGTCTCTAGAGAACATGGCCTCTAGCGACACTCTGCGAAAAGACTACCTTAAATCAGTGGATAGCTTTCCTATAAACCCCAGGAAATCTATGGAGGCATCAGAAGGATATGACTCCCCTGACAAGGAAGATCACAGGAGGAGTTACAGTGCAATGTTGACTCGGCCTTTATTTGAGAAGCCAGAGCAGGCCTCCATGAACCATATTTCTACAGGAAGTAAATACAATCTTCAGGAGCAACTGTACCCCATCCCTTCAGCACCCGAAACAGAACTGTTAGACTGCAGGCCCAGTGAATGTATGATGTCTCGCTCTGTTGACCACCTCGAGAGACCCACTTCCTTCCCTCGGCCAGGTCAGCTGGTCTGCTGTAATTCTGTTGATCAGGTTAATGACAGTGTTTACAGAAAAGTATTGCCTACGCTGGTTATTCCAGGCCATTATATGAAACTTCCCGGAGAACATCCTTACATTAGCCAGCCTCTGGTTGTTCCCACCGACCAGCAGATCGACATAGAAAGGCTCCAGGCGGAACTATTGAGCCCTCATTCACAGCTCTTCCCACACTCGCAGCAACAGATGCAGCCCCAGCAGCTGGCCGCCCAAGCAATATCTCAGCAGCATTTGCAAGAAGCTGGAGCGAGCGAATGGAGCACCCAGAATGTCTCAATGTCTGAATCTGTATCCATTCCGGCATCGCTCAACGACGCCTCTTTGGCGCAGATGAATAGCGAAGTGCAGCTTCTTACGGAGAAAGCGCTCATGGAGCTAGGAGGAGGCAAGCCCTTACCTCATCCTCGGGCATGGTTCGTTTCTCTCGACGGGCGCTCCAACGCCCACGTTAGACATTCGTACATCGATCTTCAAAGAGCTGGGAGGAACGGAAGCAACGACGCCAGCTTGGATTCTGGGGTGGACATGAACGAGCCCAAATCCGCCCGGAGGGGAAGGGGAGATCATTTGTCCCTGCACCAAACCCACCTGCAAGTTCAGGTACATCCGCAGAAGGAGCAGAAAGCTCCGGACAGCACAGCTTACACGCAGCTTGTGTATTTGGATGATATGGACCAAAGTGGCAGCGAATGCGGTACAGCCGTTTGCAGTCCAGAAGACAGTACTCTAAGGTGCCTGTTGGAGGCAGGGAGCAGAAGGACGGGCAGCCAGCTGCCCAGCCTGCAGGAGGAGACGCTAAAACGAACAGTGGAAAGTTCACCAGAGCCCTTAACGAGCCCAGAGCACGGAATGACTGTCCATAACGAAGCTGAAGATGATGAAGACGACGAGGATGACGACGACGACGACGATCAAGGAGAAGATAAGAAGAGTCCTTGGCAAAAGCGAGAGGAGAGGCCACTGATGGCGTTCAACCTCAAGTGAGCTGCGGTCCATTCATCTTTTCCCCCACCGACCCAGAGGAGTATTAAAGTTGCCAAATATTTCTTTCGGCGGATGTTCTCAGTTTGTCTGTGGAAGGGGGAAGAAAAAGTTGGCGGGGGGAGAACCCTCAGGGTGGGGGCAATGGAGGAAGTGCAAAGAATTACTGTGCAGATTCAGATAGTTGCTCTGAAGAGGCCGCGCGAGGGACGCTTCCTACGAGAGAGCTTTTAAGAGTGTGACTCTTGATTCCATTTACTTGACATCAGCCATCAAGGACATTTGGACATGTTTGGCATGTGGTATGGCGGATTATGACCTCAGATTTCCCCAAAAAGGGATCTATGTGAAACTTCATTGCGTTTTCTTAAATTCAATTGTATCATGACAGTGCTACTGAAAGGGTATCTTTCATTAGACTTTTTGACACTTGACGTCTACCGATATGCATTATCTCCAAGGAAGGCTATGCATTGCTGCTTTTTAGTAACCTTTTTTTGCGTAAACTATGCTTTTCTTACTTATGTACAAGGTAGTTGTTAAACGTTTTATGTCCTTACGATAAGTCTGCTCAGCAACTGATTTTTACCTACACAAAAGCCTGAGTAGAATCTCTTGGTATTTTGAAGAGCCTTTTTTTAACGAAGCCAAACTGAATTTTAAAGTCAGCTGCGATTCCTCTGGTTCCAATCCCCCACTCCCAAGTGCCTTTTTTACAGGAACAATGAACAGCCCCTTCTTTTTGCTAGCGCCTTGAATATTCAGATTTCTTTCTCTTTCTAAAGCTTTACATTTTCTTTTAAGGACTGCATGCCATCAAATGTCTGTGCTGATGGGACCCCTCATTTCACCGCAGTGTGTTCCCTAGTTATGGTGTGTACTGTGGATTCTGTTTAGCAAAGATAGGCTAGAGGACATCTTTGGAAAAGCAAAAACCCGAAAGTAGCCAAGAAGATAGTTGCAATGACTGTAAATATGGTGTATATAGGCTGAAGTAACATGGACTATGGACCAAGCAAGTGGACTGAATGTGTGTTTTAGAGAGTTCGGGCAAAAGTTATTATGTACTATCCAAAAGTGCCAGATAAACACTTCTGTGCTTTCTCTATATAAAGCTGCTTGGTTATCCAAAAATTATAATTGAAAAATAAACTTTTTAAAAATTTAGGATTTTTTTTTTAATTCCTCCTTTTAGTTGCAGCATTATTATTATTTACTAGCAGTTTGAACTCTACAAAGTGGCTGCTGAGGTTGGTGTGCTTGAATTCTATCACTTAATTCTCATGGAATCTCAGTGCCCTCCTTGGTTCATCTATGGCAAGGGAGGGGCAATGCCAAACACCCGGCTTTCCATTTGCCACTGTTGCGGAAAACATTGTGGACATAGGAGATAATTGAACACAGAAAGTCCACTGACAGTGATTCAAAGGCCAAAGTACAGCTTTAATGCAAAAGCCCAAATGCAGTGCAGCCATATAAATCCTGTACATTTCCCCGGGGGCAATTTTAATACCTGTTGTGTTGTTTTTGAAAGAAAATTCAAGGCAATTAAAGTTAACATTGCCATCTGTTTTAAATGGCTCCCTAAACTGGGGAGGGGGGCAAAGGTGAGTGTATCATTAAAGAACATGATAATTCTTGTGGATTTCACAGATGTTACACAATTTGCTTTGTATATTTTGTTCTAATGTTGTCGACAACAAATATTAAGAAAGCTATTATGCATACACTACTTGAGACCTTCGGGAATGCTTGTATTAAAGAATACATCTTTAACGTTCCTGCTATGTTTCAAGGGCAAGGGTGGTCTATACAGGATTGGAGATCCATAATGGATGTATTGCAGTACATTAAATAAGAACATAAGATGTGCCTGTTGGATCAGGCCAAAGGACAATTTAGCCTAGTGTCCTGTTCTCACAGTGGTCAAACATATGCTCATGGGAAGCCTGCAAGCATATTATAATATACATAATTCTGGTAAAAAAACACTAAAGCTTCATTCATACATGGGGTTTATTACATTCGTTTTACTGGTTATAATGAAAGAGCTTCTGTCCCAATTTGCAATGTTCCTTTTACACTGCAATTACCTATTGCGTTACAGAACTTTGGCTTTCTGACTAATTTACCAGAATCCCACGCTAAATTTTAAACATCAGGAAAGAACTGCATATTGGCATACCGCTTCAGATTTCATCGCATGAGCAGCCGAGTTGTAATCATGAAAAACCATGTGAAAATGGCAATGCAAAACTCCTGCGATTTTCTGGAAACAGCATGGAAATGAACGGTAGTCAACTTCCTCAAATTCTGCTACATTTCCAGAAGTGGCTTTTACATCATGTGATGAAAGAGCATATAAAATGTAAACATTTATCAGGTAAGGAAACAAAGGTCTCTGATACGTAGTTACTCTTCTCATCCTGGGGACCGAACAAAGAAGATACTTGGAGGAGAACTTTCTCCAGCTCTTCTCCAGAGTACCTGGTGTAACTTAGATGGCACTTCCTTCAGCCAACTTATTCAAGAATCCCTACACACACCTTGGTAGGGCAAAGGACCCCTGTTTGTGGTCTCAAGGAACCTTTGGGATTTGCTTGGGGCAAGCTAGTCTCTCAGAATCCTGCTTTTTTTCCTCATCTCCCTTACTCCACACCTCAACCGCTGCTCCTCGCTATCCCTCACCGTCATCTTGCAAAAAGAGACAATTTGTGGTTTTGTCCTTCCTAAGAGGTGTTGAAATGCATATTTACTCTGCACCCTGTCCTACAAGCTTCATAGTATAACATTTATACTAGTGGATGTATACCAGGGGTACCTAAGTCCTAGCCCAGAGACCTGATGTGGCCCCCACAAAACAATTTCATATGACTCTGCAGACCCTTCACGATTTTGGTAGTAAGCATGGCATACACCAAAAAACCCCACAACTATCCCCCTCAACTCTGGGCCACTGCTGTCACAGGGTGGCATTAGTTTCTGCCATGTTCACTGGCTGACCTTGGGCCAGGTCACTGTTTGAAGGACCTTGCAGGATTGTATTCAAAACAAAACGAAGTAACCTAACATTCATTTTTGCTGTGTGAGCTCAGTGGAGAAAGAGGGTGGAGTCCAAATGTGAAGAATGTTCTGGGACAAATGTGTTCCTTTGTAATATATTTAATGCAGAGATCTGGTACTTTATAATAATGCAGGTATTTGAATGAATACGATATAATCCTGTCTTCTAAACTCACCTCCCCACAAAAAAAGAGATTACCATATTGGCAAATACAGCTCCTGGAAATGTCAGCTGTACTGGCAAGAAGAGATGAATGGAGTATGTGGCTAGGCCAATAATGAAGATGACTCCCAGAAGACAGCCAGGCCACACCCAATAGAGAAAACCCTCAATGTATCTAAAGCAGCTCCCCTGTTAATCATACAGAAGTGATGCAATCATTGATTGATTGATTGATTGATTGATTGATTGATGCAACGCCTACAACACCTAAACAAATCTGAACTTTGCCTCTCCTTCCTTGCGATGGCATTCTGCTTCTCCAGAGAGCCGTTTGAAAGTGCCACTGTTGTCTTTTTGACCTAGATGCTGGCACAAGGAGCAGTGTTGGAAATTAATTGGGCCAGCAGTCTTTTTGATAGTAACTCTCGGCAATAACCCACAGTTACCCACCAAGGACCAGGTTATAGCTCAATAAACGGCGGCACCAGCTCCACTGTGCTTTTCGGGAGCTTATTTCTGGCAGTTTTTTAATTTCAAGCAAAGGCTGTTAACGAACAGGATGTAATTAGTGTGTACAAATGAGGCACTTCTCGGGGATAAAACAGCTACCCAAACAAAAGCAATGATCCTAATTTAAGAAATCAAATCTCTTTAACACAGAAACCTGATAACAGTAAGAGAGTCACTAAGAGAAGCATGTATTATTTCTTCAAAAGATTCATAGACCGCGTTTCAAACAAAATGCTTCCCAAAGTGATTTACAGACATGTTGTTTACAACAAACTAAAGCTCAGTCCAGATAAGATGAGGCACTGTTAGTGGGTGGTTCCTGAGATCAGATGGATAGGAGGTTTGCTTGCTCTTGATGGGTTACACTTCCTCTGAAGGAGCAGGTATGTAGCTTGGGGGTACTTATGGATCCATTGCTGTCACTTGAGGCTCAGCTTTAGCCCAGCTGTGCCCCTATCTGGACAGGGATTGCCTAATTTCTGTTGTCTATGCTCTGATAACCTCTAGGTTAGAATACTGTAATGCATTATATGTGGAGCTGCCTCTGAAGACAGTTTAGAAACCTCAGCTGGTGCAAAATTCAGCAAGGCAAGATGGTTTGAGCGTATTACACCAATCCTGGCCTGACTGCCAATTAGTTTTCAAGCCCAATTAAATGACTCAGTACTGCAATACTTCAAGGACTACCTCTCCTTATGAACCTACCTGGACCCTGCAACCATCATCTGAGACCCTTCTTCATGTGCCGTCTCCATGAGAGATCTGGAGGATGGCCAGGGACGTGGACTTATAAAAAATATTGGGGGGGCCCGGGAAAGCTCATGAATAATAAATAAGCTCATGAATATGCAAATAAAGTGGCTCCGGCCCTAAATAGGGCAAGCCACGCCCCCCCAGCCAGCCGATTGGCTGGCTGGGAGGTGTGGCCAGTCGGGATTCCCCTGTTCTCGCGGGGGCTGAAACCGCCAGGAGGAAGGAAATTCCCCCCGGCAGTGCCTTGGCAGTGGCGGTGGTGCTGCGAAGCAGCGAGGGAGGAGCCCCCGCCCCCGGGGATTCCCTAATCTCGCGGGGGGACGGCCGGGGCTCTCCGACTAGGGCGCGCGGCTGGCTGGCTGGCTGGCGAGGGAGCAGGTGGGGAGGAGGCGGGGGACGGCGGCGGCGCTCTGCTGGAAGGGCGCCCGAGATTATGGGGGGGGCTGAGCCCCCCCAAAAAATTTTTTGAGGGGGCTCGAGCCCCCTCAGGCCCCATGGAGTCGGCGCCTATGAGGATGGCAATATGAGAAAGGGCCTGCAGTGGCTCCCTGTTTGCACAATGCTCTCCCCAGGGAGGCTCACCTTCATTATACCTATTTAGGCGCCGGGTGAAAACATTCCTCTTCAACTAGGCCTTTGGCTGATTAGCATTCTATGGCCTTTTAAATGTGTTGGGTTTTTTTGTTTTGTTTAGTTCTTGTTTTTGTTACGTATTTTGTATTTTTATGCTGTGAACCACACCATGAGATCTTCGGACGAAGGGCAGTATACAAATTTAATTGATAATAATAATAATGCATACAAGCAAACCATAATATAATTTTAAAATCAGATTAAAAACAGACATGTCACTGCATTTTAACTGTTACAGAATATGACTAAGGTCAGCATAAACTAGCACCAGACTAGCAATTAAAAGCAACTGTCAAAAGGTAGGTCTTCACACCCTATTTAAACATGTTAAGGAATGGACCCTGCCTAACTTTGTGCAGAATTGAATGCCATAATTGTAGGGCCACTGCTAAGAAGGCCCTGTTCCGTGTGCCCACTAACCTAATAGTCTTTGTAGGTGTGCACTTAAGTAGGGTATGTGAAGCAGGGGAAGATTACTGGCTAGCTGCTAGAGGAGAAAAAAACAGTTAATCGTGTGGGCGGTTGGGGAGAGATAGAATGGAGCATCCCATCTGCCTAGCCACTGCACAGTTAAATGTTGTAATTTGCTACCACAAGGTGTGTTGATGGCCAACTTATGCGGCTTTAAAAGCAGATTGGGTAAATCCATTGGCTATCAATGGATGCTGGTCACAGTAGCTGTATTATGTTACCTCCAGGACCAGGTGCCTCTGAATAGCTGCTGAATAGCAGCAGTCGGAGAGGACCAGGGCACTCAGTTCCTGCTTGTGGCTTTCCACTGGGGGGAACAAGATGCTGGAATTTGATAGGCTTTTGCTTAGTAGCTCTTCTTAGTCCAGCCTCATCCTTGTGAATTTTCTCTAAAACCTCTGTTCATGTAAGCCAACAGTGGGGAGGTAGAGGCCTTCCAAATGTTGCTGGAACTACAAATTCCATCCCTATCGGCCATGCTGGCTGGGGCTGATGAGAATTGAAGTCCACCAACATCTAGAGGACCATAGGTTCCTCACTCCCTTATGTAAACAGTGGGCACACTGCTTTTTAGCACAGCAGGCTTATTTAAAGAACGTGTGCATCCTTTGGCTACAGAGGAGCACAGCAGATGAAAAATGGAATGCGGGTTTAATTTCACACAATGGGTGGAATGTTTTGGCCCCAGTCCAGTGGACCCAGTACACATGCAGATGGCCACATGAAGCCCCATCTGTTAACCATACAGAGCTCAGGATTGGGGACACCACCACCCGTGCAATGGGGTGCCTGCACAGGACTTTCCCCAACATAAAAACCATGGGTAATATTAATATAAATTTATGTCTCGTACCCTGCCCATCAAGGGACGCGGGTGGCACTGTGGGTAAAAGCCTCAGCGCCTAGAGCTTGCCGATCGAAAGGTCGGCGGTTCGAATCCCCGCGGCGGGGTGCGCTCCCGTTGCTCGGTCCCAGCGCCTGCCAACCTAGCAGTTCGAAAGCACCCCCAGGTGCAAGTAGATAAATAGGGACCGCTTACTGGCGGGAAGGTAAACGGCGTTTCCGTGTGCGGCTCTGGCTCGCCAGATGCAGCTTTGTCACACTGGCCATGTGACCCGGAAGTGTCTCCGGACAGCGCTGGCCCCTGGCCTCTTAAGTGAGATGGGCGCACAACCCCAGAGTC